GGGGCTATGGCTTCATCGTTATCAGGAAATGATCATATAGGGCGTGCACACGGAGCCGGTTGGCCCCCCTGAGCGTTCCGTCTGCAGATCTATCCACCTTGGGACCCGTTATCATTTGAGGGGTCCGTTTCCACGGTTCCGTTACGGCCTCGTGTGAACGAATGGGCTATACGAAAGAAAAAAGTAGCAGATACAACACGAATCGTCTCCATGTAAACGGGGTCTTAGCTAACCTGACTGACATATTAAGAAATATGAGAATAGTTCAAATATGACAATATTGAGTTCATTCTTTTTGTTTTTAATTTAAAAAAAAGTTGGAACTGCATTTGTCACAGGAAGAGACATTTCTAAATGAACACCAGAAACATGATTCAATATAATTATTTATGTACAAAACCCTATGAAATATGTCCATGTGTCCAGTATACAGTACCAAATGACAGAACTTCAGCACAGAAGCTTTTTCACATAACATTAAACAGACTTGGGGACCACCAATTCAAGATTCGGTGATTCAAGAAAAATAATCCATTGTGTTTCAGGTCAACATACACTTGGAAAAGAGCACAGGAGCTGGTGTCCTAGAACAAAAAAAAATTCATAACATAAAACCGCTCCAGAAAACATGGCTACAAAAATACTGAAAAATATTAAAAACCACCAAAATATCATGGTCCATATAATAAAATGGCTTAAAAACACAACGAAAAGTGTAATAAGGTCCGATACATCGTATCTGATCAACCAGATTTAACAAAGAAAGAAAAAAGGGGCACAGGCGCATCATCCTTTCCGAGTGCTTCGAACTTTAGCTGGTGTCCATCTGAAACATACAAAAAAAAAACAGTGATTATTAAATCATCCATACATTTTTACAGTACAGGGAGAACAAATATAAAACTGTTATTTTATGCATCACGAGTACACACCTTGGCATTGTATGCATCCAACTGGGCGTCAAGCTCCTCTGCAGAAAGTTGAGGTCTTTTTTCTCTTCCTCCTCCGCCTCCTCCTCCCCGCCCTCCTCTTCCTCTGTAACCTCCACCGCCGCCACCACCACCTTGCCTTCTTTCTCTCCTTTCACCGCGATCACCCCTATCACTCTTCTCACTCCTTTCAAACTTGGGCTGTCCAAGTCTGCTGCGGTCAAACCCTCCATTTGAACTGCAAAGAGATCATAATTATTATCATTACTGGCTGCTGCTGTCACCTACTGTAAATAACTGTGCAAAGTATGCTTCCACATATTTGATGCATGCTTCTTAATATTAAGCTGTCTTTAGCTCTTTACTTTCTGTAACAATGTACATTTCTCGCTCTGTGGGACAAATACAGGTTTTCTAATTCTGAAAGGGTGACCGGTTTTTAGGGTAGTATGATGAAGCAGGCACACATATTTTAGCCACCATTAAAAGTATTAATTGGAGTATTGTATCACTCCACCAGAGTTAGACAACCCTTTTGGACAGTTATGTATGCTCAATTTAAAAAGCCACCAGACCTTAAGTAACCAGCTAAAACTAATTTTCTTATCAAGGCAACTGTCGAGCAATCCATGCAAGATAAAATGTATGTTTTTTGATTAAAAAAAAGAGAGACTGTTTGTTTTGGCAAGATAATAGAAAGTTTCCTGTCAGAAAGGGCTGGCTGACAGAAAGTAGAGCAGTGAAAATATCATAAATGCAGCACACATTTTAACTTTTTTTAGGGTATAAGATATTGATTTAGCTGCTGGTACTCCCATCAGCATCTCCAAACTAGGGACATGCATAACACCATATTCTGTGACAATAGGCCGATTAGGGATAAGAACCTCCTACAGCCCCCAAATGTCCCTTTATCTTATTAGTCTCCAATCACTGATAGACACATGTTGGGATATCGTGAATCTTTTCTGGTACTTCCCAACTACTGGTCTCAAACTGCAGACATATGACATACCTTTGTACAGATGGTCTGCTCTGTGTGTCAACGTCAGAAGTCAGCTGCTGGATTTTCATGGGACGGCCTATCAAAAGGATTACATTTCATTATTAATTCATTCTGAATAACCGATCACAATACTTAAATTCAACTTGAGAATGGAATCCTCACCGTCAAGTGGGACACCGTTATAGTGCTTCATGGCTTTGAGTGCTGCTGCGTTAGTTTCAAAGTGAACATCGGCCGTTCCTTTACTGCGCCCAGAGCGGTCGTAGTGTACAGACGCCTTCAGTAAGTCTCCAAACTCTGCAAACAATTCCTGTGGAGCAGAGTAGAAACATCAGTCCTGTTCCCAACACATTGATGCTAACAATGTGGATTCATGGGATTCAGTAAATTACCTTGACATCAGAGTCAGAGACACCAAAGTCCAGATTGGATACCAGCAGCTTGCCGTTACATTCTACACTTCTTTCTGCCACAGCGCTCTGTTGTCCTCTGCGTCCACCAGCATGCTCCTCAAACATATCATGCTGCCATTTGTCTGGCAACTCTCTGGGCTGTTGAGAGAAACATAAGAAAACTGTGTTTAGGATCCAAATGTTATGGGAACAAGCAACGATACGTCTGAAACGGATACATTTAAATGACTGGCAGGGAAAATGTGTACAAATATTTTCTCAATGGCCATTTGTTTCAGCTAATTGCAATAAACACTAAATCCTTTATATTTTACCAGTTCAGCCAATAGATTACAATTAATCTTAAACACTATACCTTTAAATGACTTCCCTACACGTCTGGAGAACCAGGCTAGGGGTTTCATCCAGTTAATCCACAAAATAGTTTATCCAAAAAAAATAATAGCTTTTAAATTCTAGGTAAAACAAAAATCATCAAGTTAGTAGAGGAAAACGTTTTAGCGGGAGAAGTGAAATAGAGTTCCTCCTCACTGAGATTTCAGATTATAGCCTCTCGAAGAACAGCTTCGGAAACAAAGCAGCCATGTTGGACAAATATCCACGGGGACACGGTTAAATGGCGCTGCCCTAATTCCTAGTAATTATTTCTGAAAATGTAATTGAACACCCTGGCATAATTTAATGTAGACAATTTAAGTCATTCGTGGTAAGTTATTTAAGTTTCTACTTCCAAGTTAGCTAGTTAGCCACACTAGTAAGGGGAAGTCCATTAAGTGTAATGCTAACAACGACCGATAAGCAGCCACGATGTACGCATTTTGAAACGCCTTACCACGCTGCTTTCATTTAAAATTTCGGTCCACATGTGAATGGTTTCTCTCTCTTACCCTGGTGTACGGTGTTGTTCTGTTGTTTCTATCACGGTTGAAGTTATTCTGTCGACTCCTGGCCGGCCTTGAAGATCCACCGGCCCGACCAGAACTTCCACCCTGCCCGGATGATCTTCCTCCAGCGCCGCCGCCACCGCCTCCGCCGCCGCCTTTCTTATTTAACTTGATAATGTCGTCCAGGGACATACTCATCTTGTCGGACATCGTGGTGCTTAAGGTTCTAGCTGGAGATGAACAAAGAACTTACGTTGACGAGACGCTGTTGTTTATGTGCTTGCTTTCTCCGGTGGCGCGGTGTTAAAACTAGCGGATGTGACGTAAATACTCTGCAGAAGTGACGATAAACCAGAAGTCCCGCCTCTTTTATTTTTCCCCCCCAAAAAACTTTATTTAAAAACTAGTAACGTTCACAGCAGCTGTACATTTTCGAATGAAATCATTTTTATTGATTGAACAGGTATTGCCGTTTTCCACACCACAGAAAAAAATATTAAACTCGAGTATCTGTAATTTATGTATTTTATACTTATAACTCCACTACATTTATTTAACAACATTAGTTAATACTTTGAAGACACACATTAATACAAAATACAAATTAACAAATCATTAGAAATAGATTCATGGATTAAAATATCCGACAGTATATTAAAGTAGTTCAAATGAGCTATACCTTCACCAACTGTATCGATAATTATAATCCAGTTATATAGCCTATATAATTGATTCTGAAATTAGTACTTTCACTTCTTGTACTTCAGTTTTATGTAGATGGTAATACTATGTACTTAGGTAAGAGTTTCAATGCATGGCTTTTTTCTCATTTAATTCACTTCAAACTAGACAATTACCTTGAAACATGCACCTTTAATTACTTTGTGAATATTGTTTTGGTGACCAGAACATTATCCACAGATGTTGATCTATCTGCACCCTGACAAGAAGGCTTAAACAGTCCCAAATGTCAAAGTATTTAAGTAAGAGTAAACAGTATGCTGTATAAACCTTCATCTACCTACTAGATAGTGATATTGAATGAGAACCGTGGTTCATTCTGATTCAGTAGGTGAACCTTTATTTGAATAAAATAGTGTGTGTGTAAATTAAACTTAAATGGAGCATTTTCTGTCAGCTCAGATTTTATTTCAGCTTTTTTAAACTGTAGTATGTGCTCATGTGTTTCATTGCTGGTGTATAGGCTACTGCCCGAACATGCTTCATGAAAGGCAGGTTTTCCTATCAATACAATCATTTCTGATACTAAATATATTGTTTTCTTCTTTACTAAGGTCACATTGTTCTCTTGTCATAATAAACTTAAGTAAAAAACACCATATTGATATTTATTTTCTCTTGTGTTTATTTGCATTGCATTTGATATTGAGGTAATCCAAAACTAACAGAAAGTAATCAGGTTACATTACCTTTATATTTTGATACTCACATTAGGTTACTGATTACATTTTTAATCAGGTAACTAGTCATTGTAACACAATACGTTTTTAAGTAACCCTCCTAACCCTGGTTGTGGATAAAGACCTTTGCATGACTCCAGCTTTTCCTGTGGATTCAACCGTCCTCGTCGTGCACGTGTCATCTTACTGTTGCTAAGGGACATTTGAATGACCTAAATCACACTGAAAACCTGTTATCAAGACACAGATGGATGGTCATAAGCCATCAAACTAAACTGTGCAGCTTGGATTTGAGAATATTTTAGATATGCTTCGTCGTGTTCCATCACTGTTGCACTGACACTGCAGTATGTTCAGAGAGAATACGTTTATTTATCAGAAAGGTTTACAAGTCCATAACATCTTTAAGTGGGATACAGTAAAAGCCAAGAAGCAGGTTTATTTTCACCTGATTCGGAGTTTGCCCAGTCATTCTAAATATGTTCATGAAGTCAATTTACATCTCATCAAGAAAACATAACTCTGACATCAGACAGCCACTCTCACAAAATGTGACACTGCAGCTCTAAATCTTTTCAGTTGCTGTTGATGTATGGCTTTTCAGGATGCTGTATTTTGTTTTGCCCGCTGCTGTTGTTGGCCTCGCTGAGCTGGTGGAGGTCCTTCAGCATGTCTGCAAACTGCTCCTCCTGTGAGCACGTACAAAACAGCCATCACTTCAAGCACTGCATACTGTCAATAAAGGGATTTCTCCAAAATACCTTCATAGTAAACACATTAGTATCATGAAAAAAAGATGCAACGAAATTAAGATTATCTTTTTTTATCTATTCCATCACAGTTCAAGGCAAAAATGTAATGACATAAAATTAATTTTAATTTCAATTTTAGGACTGCAAATAAGGATTTCATCACACAATCTGTCCAAAAACAAAATGTAAATAATAATAATTTAATGTCTGATAGACAATAACATGTATTTATTTATTTTGACATTAATATATATATATCATTAACAATCAGAAGGTTTGGGTGTTGTAGGTTGGGTAGTGCTTTGCCTCAAATCCTCCTCAATGCTTTAGCAGTACTAACTAAATCAGTAACTATATGTAACAGAACACTAGTCTTGCTTGATTTGACCTACCTTACTTGCACATGTATTTTCTATATCTGCAAAAAGTCAGTAGGTTGTACCAAAAACAAAAGATCTGACGCAAAAAAATAAGCTACACAACACTTCCCCTTAAAGCTGCAAAAACAATTACTCATAGTAAAGTATAGAAATAAACTAAATGATGGTGCAGTGTTTGGTGCAGTTGGACTGACATGTGGTTAAATAGATTAAGTTCATTATTATTTAAACTTGTGCTTTCACAATGCTTACCAGTATATTGACTCGCTCGGCTGCAGCCATGGCAACACTCAGCTTCCTCTCATCTTCCTCCCTCTCCTCCTCAATCACACCCAGCCTGTGACACACACACACACACACACACACACACACACACACACACACACACACACACACACACACACACACACACACACACACACACACACACACACACACACACACACACACACACACACACACACACACACACACACACACACACACACACACACACACACACACACACACACACACACACACACACACACACACACACACACACACACACACACACACAAATAAGAGATGCTCATGCTCGAGTCAGTTAACCACAACAGCATGTTTTTGCTACTTTGCACTTCTACCCACTACAATTCAGAGGTATAAGGTGTTATTTTACTCCACTACATTCATTTAATACCTTTAGTTACTTTGCAAAATTGGATATATATATATATATATATATATATATATATATATATATATATATATATATATATATATATATATATATATATATATAATCAACCAGCTTTGATAACACTTTCGTACTTTTACTTATACATTTTTTATTACAGTTGTAACAGAGTATTCCTACACTCTGGTACTTTTACTTTTACTTAAGTACACAATCTGAGTACTACTCCCACCTCTTAGTGCAGGCAGTATTAGGATTGTCTTAAAAGCTGAATATCTTTAGCTCTAAAATGGAACTAGAATGCATCATTTCTGTTTAGCTCTTGTACCTGAAGGCGGCGCTGGCCAGCTGCTCGTCTCTCATCGCCAGCTGATTCCGAAGATCGGTCACCTCAGCCAGCATCATTGCATTCTGGTCCTGGCTCTGGATGATGAAGTCCTCCAAACGCTTTGCCATGTCCAGCTCGCTCTCTGTCACCTGCTCTATCCCCAGACGAAGCTCTGAGAGCTCCTGAGCGTGCTGGTGTGTGAATAACAGTTTGACATTTGATTACATTTCATTTAATTAGCTACACCTTTACGCTTATCCTTTAGAACAGGGGTTATCTATCTTTTGTAACTAAGGCCCACTTTTACATTTTGAAAAGAATCTGAACACTACATACCCAAATAAATAAGAAAAAAAACCATGACAAAGATAACATATGAATAAACTGGGCTGTAAATATTTGTAATGCGCGTTCTTGTTGGTACCACAAAATCAGGAATTCGACCTGTGAAGTCCGAATACAAACTTTGAAAGAAGAATCTCAAAAACACCAACCTCAGAATCCAATCAACCAAGAGTGCTGTAGTAATATATATTGTTTTGAAAGTTCTGTCTTATTCGTGTATCATTAAATTGGGTATATACACAGCACTATCCAATTTTATCTGTGGACATGTCCATCTGTGTTTGTTAGACAAACAATTGCCAATTGAATATCATGTTTCTATTGAACTGTTATTGATAATTCCGCTAAGACGACCAACAGATGTTCCACTTGTAACTTAAAGCCGGCCCATTCAGGTGTTTGATCTTCTGAGGTAAACGGAAAAGGCCATTAGGCTTCTGTCCTTTTTGTTGGCCAACTCAGAAGTCAGCATCGCACTGATTCCAAGCCCCCACCATGTGAGTTGGGTGTTGAGGCACATCTTTGTAGTGGCCAAATGGTGGTTACAACTTTTTGGGGTTAGTCAGGTTGCTGAATACATTTCTGACATGGCAGTTTTAACCAGAAAGTGGCCATATTTGTACTACGAGTGGGCTGATTTTGATGAATTTTGGGTCGATTAAGTGTTAAGGGAGTCAAAACTTAAAAATGCTAATGCTAATTGTGCAAATTGCCCATATGCTAGTTAGTATCCGGCAGTTTCTATGTGCTGGGTACCCTTACCATCCATTTCTAACATAAAACGTTGGGGTAATCAACATTTCAGGGTTCACACTGTTGGCAAATAGACTAATTGGGAAAGAGACGTCTCCAAATCTGCGGATACTTTTTTTCTGGGTTATACTCATTACGAACACTTAAATAGCTCTTGTTTAATTACGTCTTAAAAGTAATTTTCGGAAAACAAGAACAGACCATGTCCAACTTTGACATACCCTATCCAGCAAGTTGAAGTGCTCAGTCTCAGTCTTCATCTCACTGGACTCCCTGCTCTGCATGACTTTGATCCATGGAACTGGTGCAGGGGTGCGTTTGATACTGTCACTCTGAAAAAAGAGGAAAGATAGTGCACTCAAGTTCTTCTAATGAAACATTAAAGAACAATCTTGGTGTTAACACATATGTTAAAATAAAGGGCATTACTGTTAATTGTAAATGCAACATTTCACGTATTTATTGCAGTATTTATAGCAGTGGTATGAGCATATGACCTGCTGTCAGTTGTGTAAAATAACTACATTTACTCAAGTACTGTAATTAAGTAACATTTTGAGAGACTTGTACTTTACTTGAATATCATATTTTCTTGCAACTTTGTTCTTCCATCCCATTACAATTCAGAGGTAAATGGTGTACTTTTACTCCATGACATGTATTTAATACTTCTAGTTACTTTACAGATTTAGAATAATGATGTGAAATATAATCAGATCAGACTTTAGTTCCACCTGGAGTAAATCCACAAGCTACCCTGCAGTATACAAAGTCATTACAACTAGCTGCACCTTTACCAGCTTTGAGAACACTTTAATGATCAATCATTATAAAACATATCATATATATTATTCTGAAATGGGATAATCTGCCTGCTGACCAATTCAGCCGAGCTAGTCTCCCAGTCCCTCTTTGCACTCACAGTTTTTGGGGATGAGATGAACAGTTGGTTGGTCTCCGTGTCCGGTTCATTGTCAGCGGTGGGCAGATCTTCAGAGCTCGTCTGCCTCTTCAGGGTGTGTTTGCCCTGACCAGGCCGTCTGTGTGGAGCACTCTGGGTTCTGGTCACCGGCTTCCTCTCTCTCATGCTCCTCCGAGTCCTTCCCTCCCTATTGAATTCATACATTAATTGACTAATGATGACATTTGGCAAATCTGCAAATAATTTAAGCAGTTTAATTATCCATATCTGCACTTAAAACGTTTTGTATGTATGCATCTCAAATGGAGTAATAGATAGATAGATAGATAGATAGATAGATAGATAGATAGATAGATAGATAGATAGATAGATAGATAGATAGATAGATAGATAGATACTTTACTTAACCTAACCCTGGGAAATTATTTTGTCACAGCAGCAGTGTCGTCAAGCATTACATGGTTATCGACATCTAAAAATAAACATTGGCTGAGCCGAGGAACACACATACCCGTCTCGTGGGCCTTTGGAGTCCACAGGAAGCTGCTGGAGGGAGGACTGGTGAGGGCTGAACTTGCCCAAGTCTTTAGGAGGAACATACACTGGTTTGACTTGTCCCATTTCGCTGCAAGACAAAAGCATGCCTGATTAACATTATTATTATAACCCAATATCACAAAGCATGTCTAATATTGCTGTAAATATAATATAAAGAGCATGAACACCACTTCCCATAACAATACTGCACATTACATTACATGTTACTTGTTAGACGCTTTTATCCAAAGCGACTTACATACTCAATACTGTGGACAATCCCCACAGGAGCAATTTGGGGTGAAGTGTCTTGCCCAGGGACACAACGACATGCTGACTGCAGTGGGGTTTGAACCTGTGACCCCACTGATCCCAACACCAAGGCTCTAACCACTGCGCCACACGCCTCCCACATATTCTATTTTATTATTCTAAGTACTTTGCAATAGTATACTGCACGCAGTTATTTGGTATATCCAGATTTCATGTAAATAATGTTCTATATCTTAACGTAAAATAGTGGTTATAGGCCTTATACATACCCGTTTATTATGATCCGATGTGCATCTGGACCCAGTGACTCTGTTATCTGGTTCAAAATGGAAGGCAGAGGGTGCAGCTCTTCAACTTTGTCCTAAGGGAGAAAGAAGCTTTGTTAGGTCCAATAAACTCTAAACCTGTGTTCAGTTTCTTGATATATGGAAAAGAAAAATGATGTTAAAGCAAGTTGTATGCAAACATCAATCAGGATGTAGTCAATCTGGAGCTAGTCTGACTGATTGAAAGTAAATCATTGCAAAATGTTAAAAACCAGCCCCATATCCAAAAGGTGTTGGATATAGATCCCATTCTTACTATCATGTGTCACGCTTTGTCACACAAGTTTCCTGTTTTATTTTTGAAAAGTCTTCCCCCCCCTGTGTTATGTATTTGTGTTCCTGTCTCTGTTTGAATACCTGATTCTGCTCACCTGCTGCCCTTGTGTTTTCCTGCCCTCCCCAGCTGTCTCCTTGTGATTAGTCTTGCATGTATAAGATCTGGTTTTCTCTTAGTTTTAGTCAGATCCTTGTTTTCTTTTGTGGAAGTGCTCAGTGTTATGTAGGGTGTTGTTACTTTTGATTTGCCTTTCCTTGTCCTGTGCTACCGATTAAAGGTATTTTCTGTTGAACATTAGTCCGTCTGCATTTGGGTCCACCCTGCTCTGCTCTAAACCATGATATGTTAGTAAATAAGGCTTTAAAACAGGTAATTTGTGACTTCCATCCTGTTATATTAATGTAATTAATTTGTCTGTGAGTCTCAGAATGTACTCTTGAAAACAAAATCATATAATGAAAGGACTTGTGGTTCTATCAAAACCAAGCTTACAGATCATGTACACACAGAAGTGAAATACTTTGACATTTACACTAACATTAAAAACTAATACAATTGGATGCATTAGTTTTCTGTCCTACCTGGTGTCTCTTGTAGATGATGTCCACCAGAAGGCCATGAAGCACAGCCAAGCGCAGAGGCAGATCCACGTAGCCATCGAAGGAAGACATTGGGATTTCTGTTTCTATATTTGACACTGTTTGTAGAAAACCCCTCATTCCATCCCAGTGCTGCTGCAGGAATTCATTCATGAAGAGCATGTACTCCTCCTTCTCTCCAAACCTAAACCATAAATACATATTTCAGACACTGAAGCCCCTTTAGGTAAACCAAGAAGATTCTTTATCCTCGTTATATTTGTATTGCCACTCACAGGGTGAAGTTGGCCAGATTTTGGATGACTTTGGCTGTCAAGGTGAGGGTACGCAGAATGTTTGTCTCTGGATAAGCCTGTGTCAGCCCGAACAGAGAAGGACTCAGGATAGCAGGACATAAGAATCGGAGGAAGAGGGAAGCAGAGATGAGACGCTGGCCAATCTCTGGTCTGCCCTGGTCTTCACACAGCTCAACCCAGCTGGAGAAGATCTTGTTTAACTCTTCAGGAAAGGGTCTGCAAGAAAGAAATCAAGCATCAGTTTTTTTAATTACATTTTTCATCAGAACCTAAACATTCAATATTTGATGTTGGAGCTATACAGTGAATTATGTTATTTAGCAATTAAACATTTATTTCCTAGCTGTTATTTGATAATATTAATTTAATCATTATTTATCGTCATTATTTATGCTTTTATTTTGAAGGAGGTTTTGGGCACCGGGTTAGTTGGGCACCATGATGATTATGTATATATTGGACACAGGTGGTGGTGGGATTGGCGCACCAGATTGAGTTTATGTTTTTTTACCAGAGAAAAACATAGGAAATGCCACAGGGGAAACCATTGTGCTTTATGTATTGTATTATTGAAATACTACAAAATAAAACAGACGAAAGGATATTCTTCCCTGAACATTGAAAAGTTTTCCTGCGTAAGATTTGCTTACTGGTGTCAGTTTTATTTTGAGTTATATTTCTGCTTTATTTCTTTATTTAGCCGCTACATTGGATATGTTGTGTCTTTTTCTATGATGAGTTCTGTTATTTTACCCATGGGTCTCCACAATCTTCTGCACCACCTCCTCACAGGCTTCCATCAAGTGCTTCTGGTTGTTTGGCAATTCAGAGGCAGAGCATTTACGAGGGTCAACTTCACAGTTCTCCACGGAGGTGTGAAGACGGTTGATGAAGTCCCCTGCAGGGAAAGATATAGCACAGAGTTCAGGAAAAAAACGAAACACCTACCAATACCAATTAGGAGAAGCCACTGAGCTACCCCACCTAGTGTGACGATCAGGTACTTCTGTCCAACCAGCTTCATATATTCATCTATGGCTTTAGTGGCCAATGTGTTCTCTCTGAAGATCAATGCCTCCCTCTCTCCAAGACGCTCCACCTCCGCACTGCCCAGATCAAGGAGGAACTCCTGAAGCATAACAATTACATGTATGATTAAACCTTTTTGTTGTATTTTCTTTATTGGGTTATGAGTTCATTTGTCATATGCATTTTCTTTGAGACTCTACCTTAGCTTTGCCAATGCTCTGCAGTACATGGACCAGAGCCCCTGCCAGCTCTTCCTTCTCCTTCACATTCAGCAGAGGTTCCAGGTTTCTGCACATCTCAACATAATCCACCGTCACATACTCAGCAAACTCTTTGTATTTCTCCATGGGCTGCACTTGCAAGTTCTGAAAACGGGCCTTGATGCGGAGTGAAGCCTGTGGCCCCAGCTGTTCTTTGGTCCCAGCTGTGCCAGAGGACTTGTATGGAGTAATGGGATACCACTTCTCCTGATAGGTCCTCCCTCGGATCTCAGGTAAAGGTATGGCCACACTGCCCAGTGGGTGCAGGCTGGATTCATCTCGGGAGTGGCGCTTTTTCTTGGGGTCTTCTTCTCTGAAGAGGTGCAGGGTGATTTGGGAGACACATGGCAGGTTGTCTAGCTCAAAGAATTCCCCCCAAAATAACTGACACCCTCCAGCTGCACTTGCCCCGATGCCTCCTGAAAACCCAGAAGAGTTGTCCCCTGCCACGTTGGAGCGGTGAGACGGTTTATCAACAATCCGGCTGCTGGTCCGGGCAAACAGGGTACCGTCTAGGTGCAACTCACAGTAATAACTCCGTTTGGGAGGCAGATCCTTAGCTTCATTTATCCAAAGACACAAGGAGTTCTCTGTGCGCTCGATGTTATCCTGTGAACAATGATGCAGGGTATTTTTTTAGGATTATGATTTAGCATGACACATTTTCTGAACCAAAGGCTAACTTCTTACCTTGTTTGGCTGGGCAACCCTTCTCAAGTCTTCAATCCAACGATCACGTTGGGCAGCTGAGCAGCAGCCAAAGCAGTGGGTGTTCTCAGAGTTTATCACCTATAAGTAGGGGAGAGTGGAGAAAGATGAGCCAATTTTTACTTATGTTGTCCTCTAGGCAAGGAAAAACAAGATAGAAGTCAAATGAAAACAACGACCTTTACTTTAGGATGTCTTCTGTCAATCAACATTAAAATAATGCATCTATCACATAATCATGCAAATATTACTTCCAAAAAAGTGGTCTGTGGCTTGACTTGCCCCATTCAAGGGGTACATTGAGCCATCTGGGAGTAAATTGACCAATTGACTTTCACAAGTTCGCCATGTGCTTCTCTCCATCAAAGCCAAATAGAAGTGATGGGTGCTTCCTGAATTTATGGTCACATGGCAACAAATGTGAAGAGTTGCCTAGATACAGGGGGTGGGGGAACTTACCCACTGGCTCATCTAACCCCACCCTCCACAACATAAAAGCCAACAAGACTATGTTAGCCTTACTTGGATAGAACGTTTATTTTATCGACACACTGGAGGCACTCTATGATGCTCCCTAGGATACTTAAGCAGTATAGACACAATGCAGAAGTGAAGGTACCTCAAAGCAGTACTTCTCCCCCAAAATGGAGCTGTGGACCGGCCTGATGACAGTGTTGGTGTCTGCACTCAGATCTAGACTCCCCAATGCGCTGACTGGAATTGACACAGACTCCCGAGAACCATAGTGCCTTAGAAAAAAGTACAAAAAGTCAGTCAGAATGGAGTCAAATTCCATGACTTGTCAAGGGTAATAAATGTTCTTTTACCTTTCAATATCCATTGGACTCTAGCTCTATCTACAACTTTCACAAAATGCTGGTACTAAGGTTACATGAATATATATTATTTGATATACAGTATGTCATGATAGATTAGAATCTTGTCTCTCTTCTATAAAAAAAAAAGGCCTAGTAGAGATCTCATTGATAGCCATTACATTTTGTGAAGACATTCATGGTCCCCAGAGGATGTAGCATACTGACATGGTAAACATGATATCTTCTAAACATTGTGAGCTTGCTGACGTTAGCATGAAGCTTAGCCTCACAGATAGGATAGTGTGACTTGTTTTTTCCCTGTCAGGTTTTGGACAGTACAAGAGCACAATGAATAGGCAACCGTTACTTCACTGTTAACCCAACATTGATTTAAAAAACAAATCAAAGTCAACAAAATTATGCACTTTAACCTTTTATTCATGTCAAATATAAAGTTTGGTAGCACAGAGCCAACACGACATAAAAAAACGTTTGAACGTCTAAGCACTTCACTTTGTTTGCTTTCACAATCATTACAGTGCATATTACCTGCTTCCTTTTAGACCTATGGGGTTCAGTTGGGTGGTGCTATTCCTCTTGGCCCTGTTCTCAAGACGTCGCTTGATCAACGCCTGAGGGCAGATAAGGCAAGCATGATGTATCACAACAATTATGTTTAACGTCAACAGGATATGCATACGTAGTAGAAAGATTGGTATCTCCTCTGTGTACAATACTCACCCTGACACCGCCATCTTGGTTCTTGGGTCGTGGGCCGCCCGGTGACCCCACGTGGTCAGGGCTACATTCTGAGTATTGGAAAGAGATCATTTGTACATATTGTTTTTATTTATTCCTGGTAACATGTTATAGTTTGAAAAAAAGCCAATCATACACTTATGCATACAATTCCAAATTGAAGATAAAGATCAATACTGGCACTCTTTGGGTTCAAACTCTTTTCTCAAAATCCTGTGTCGTCAACTGAGTAAACTCTCAAAACATTACTCAAAGCTTAGCAAATACATTCAGATTAAGCCATACAGGATGTGGTATTCAGCTGGACCTGCAGCAATCTTAGTGAAATTAACTAGTTGGCTATACATTCTTATTATTGAAACCCATTTAAAGCAGTAGAGAGGATGAAATAAGAAAAACAAATACTGCCATGATTTTACCCTGAATTTTGCAACCCTTCTCTTATAAGATTAGAATATCTTTAAAGTCAACGATGTGAATTAAGAAGTTAACAATGCAGAGTTCTGTAAGAAAGATTTTCATTTTTCTTACCCAAAGCCCCACCACAAACAATCCAGCGTCTAAATCCCATCATTTAGTCCAGAGGTGTGCCACAGTCTTGTTACTTCGGTCCCTGTCCCTTTAACATTTCCCTCCTTTCTTCATTAACATATATTGATGGTGACACTAAGCCAACTAGCCAAAAACAATACAGTATCAGTCTCTTCCACCGTGCAGCTTCTTCTTAGCAAGGAGCCAGAGTAGAATGGAAGCTGACTCTGCCCATTGGACTGCTAGAACAACCCAGTGAGATGTTATCTTCCCCAAAAAACTTAGAGGAAGTTATTTTGTCAGTCACTCGCACGCATAAACATTCAGCTATTTCCTCTGTGACTGCAGCATCATACTCAGTGTTGCTGTGATGTCAGTAGCTGTAACGCTGGTCATCCAAATTCCCTATGCTTGGCTTATTGTTACATTTTAAAATGCATGATTTTGTTGTTTAATTTGCTTAAAGGAGTTTATTTCTTGATTATGAAACCGTTTGAATGTAATGATGTGCACTTTTATTGTCATTACACAGTACAAGTACTATGTAATGAAATGGTTGCATTTGACCCATCCTAGTGTTAGGAGCAGTGGGCTGCCATTATGTACGGCGCCCGGGGAGCAGTGTAGGGAACGGTGCCTTGCTCAGGGATACCTCGGTAGCACTTGGTCTTGCTGGGACTTGAACTGGTGACCTTCCAGTTGCTAAGCCAAGTCCCTATGGACTTCGCCCCTCATATATGATTAATATCAATACATGTATAGACCAAAGGTTTTTCCTTTGTCTACATTTACACAAGTTAAGTCTCCAAGTGAGTAGTAGTACTCAACGTTAGCATAGTAATGAAGCCAGTGGACATTATTCTTTAAAAAATAAAAATGTTATGTCATATATTTTGTGGTGAAGGCTGTCACTGAGGTATGATCAACATGGGATACAAATCAATATATTCATTTAAGTTGGTGGCTTAAGCAAGGCAAGCTAACATTTTGGGTAACCTTTTATGAATTTTGCTAACGTTAGCTACATTTGGGTACACAATTGACCTTCATTTGTATGAAATTTAGAGGCCAGGCCAATGAAGTGAGTAAACCTACTAAATACCCAAGTCTTTCCTTCACTTCCAAAAAAAAGACCCTGTCCTGCCAGAACAAGATTCTTGGGACACAAGGCAGGGGTGCTCATGGGAGTTGCAGTCTTTCTCCAAAGGCGCCGCCAAAATCAACACCGAAAATAAGAATACCTTGTAGTAGCTTTAAATATGTAAATGTATTAACCTGTTTCCATATCTGCGAGGTTCTGCATGCTGTGTGCCGACAGGAAGCTGCTGATACGGTTTCGGGTCCACATCGTTGGCTAAGAAAGACACACAAACACAAACACGTATTTGTCAGCGGATGTTTAGTGCTTTCCCCTCTCTTTTAGTCAAAAATGTTCATGTTTTCTACAGGTTGAGTGAGTTTTGGTGAATCATGTGTGTGTATGTGTGTTGGTACCTCTTCCTCTGGAGATATGATAATTTGTCCATCTTCAAGAATACAGCTGCTAATGTCCCATAAGGGCACCTCCTGGTGCGGGGCCCATTGTTGTCTTAGGAGTTCAGCGGGTCCAACCCCACCCACACCTGGCACACCAACAGACACATTGATATTCCTCACTATAGATTTGACACAGTTGCATGTGGTTTACCCGCACCCAATAATCCCATTCTGGTAAATAAATGACAATATACTTCCTCACACTTTGGAAAACCAACTATAGTTAAATCAAATCAGGACTTCACAGGGACTTAATTGCTGGCACACGCTGGCTCAATTATGGCATGGTGGTACTTATCTCGCACAGAACTTGGTCACTCCCATTAGTGAAGTTGCTGGGGTAACTGATGCTATCGCTCTCTTTTCATGACACACCAGGATGAGAGAGCTGCACACATCCTGTGGTTCCTCTGGCGTTTTTGTTTTGTTTTGATGAATATGCCCTTCAACATATATTTTAATGGCATTTTAGGTTGAAATGTTCTCTTTTATAATGCGCTTAACTTGCATGATGTTTTACTTAGTAGCCTATAGATTAAAGGGGCCCTGTTATGCTCGTTATTAGGTTCATATTTGTGTGTAGTGTCTCTACTGTGACATGTATTTTTCTCATGCTGCCTGTGCTGCAGCACCTCTTTTCACCTTCTGTGAAACCAGAGCCCAGTCTGCTCTGATTGGTTAGCTGGCCGGCTGAGTTGTGATTGGTCAACCGCTTAGAGATGATATCAATAATCAATATTTTAATAAGGATTACAATTTATTTTACAGTTAAACCTATAGCTGTGTGTTGTGTATTTCCTAGTTTTTTTGGTAAACTTTGACAAGGTCTAATTTTCTGAAATTATCCCAACGTGAGTTGAGATTCCTGATGTCACTAAAGGGAAGGTCAACATTACTTTTTACTTCTGTGATAGACAGCAGGTAGGGTAACTTCCTCAAATATAGCTGTAGGTTTGGATAACTAATGTATTGGTACTAAATAAAAGGTATATTGACCTTATTCAACCATTCATTTACTTTGTCTGTAGGTTTTGAATTAGATTTCTCCACCGTTTTTAAAACAAGGAGCCACCATAGACTGTACATGGAGCCTCACACCTCAGTGCCATACAGTGCAAATTGTTCAATTATGCATCTTTTCTAAACGCTTTGATTTCCTCCTCCGCAGAGCGGATGTTTCCTGTGAGAGCGGTTTGTAAGTTCTGGGCCTTTTCTCAGCAGTTTTGACCTTTTTTGGAAACTGACAGCAGTCATTTAGAAAGTCTGGGTTCTGCTAAAGTCTGTTTCAGTGGGAAAGAAAATGGCCATAGATTCTGATGTTTGAATGGCTTTCTCTGTCTGTTATGTGGACCGTATGAAGAATAGTTGTTACTTTTGTTATGACAAATTGAGATCCTAAATAAAGCATACATTATAAAGATGATCTGCGTCAACCAGACTCTTGATTTCTCTGTTTAAAATTGACTTGAAACTTAAGCCCCCTTTCCAGGCCTAAAGGAGAATTTGACACAAATACCATCACCTTATTTTAATGTATATATAGTAAATTATCTATTTTTAATACAACTGATATTTAATGGACCCAAGCCAGTGGAAGAACAAACCACTTAGCATTTTTATTAAGACTGTAAGATGCATTTTCCCTGTTTTTGTGTGTATGAATTGTACGGTGATTTACGGTTATTTTAATAGCCAGTGCCAAAGACACATTTACAAGAAAGTATTCTGAATCTGAATATTGCTGATCTCCTCCATTCTTGCTTCACACTTACACAGAACTCTGATTTGAACATGTGATTGGTCATATGTCTATAAACCTTTAGACAGTAAGTAGCTTTTTGAGGTAACAACGCATTGACGCAGACCCTCCTTTATATCTGTATATGTCATCAAGCCTTATGACAGTCAACTTACTGGAAAACTGTGTTTACTAAATAAACGCTATGATGTTTAATTGAGCTGCTGGTGTATGTGGTTTAAGATACCCTTGTATCACATAGACTGTACAAACGAATCAATCTGAATCAATCATAGGTTTTATATTTTTTCTGAGATCAGCTCTTTTGCGTGAAAGCTTTTAAAATGAAGAACCCAAAGTAGTTTTTCCATTGATCTCTAGCTTTTATATGGATAGTTTCATATAATTTAATCCCAGGGTTATTAAACTAATATAGTTTTTTAACTAAAAGATTACCTAAGTTCCTCTTTAGGGTTGTCTTTTTAAAGTTTGTCAGCTTTTTGAAGGGTGTGTCGTGTTGTTCTCTTGCATCTCTTACAGGCTGAAACACTGTTCACAGTTGGCTATGAATCATGTCTCGTTGGGAAAACAGTCACACGCACAGCACCCACTATTAGTATGTGACTGAATGATACAACCTAGTGAAAGGAAATCATGCTTTAACCGCATGGGGTAACCATTTTGCTGCATGAATCCAAAATGTGTATTTACATTTGACTATAATTTGATGTATGTATTAACAGTGGTGTAAAGTAACAAAGCACACTTACTAAAGCACTGTACTTAAATAAAGTGTTGAGGTACTAGTACTTTACAAGAGTATTTAAATGTTTTGCTACTTTGTAGTTCTACCCCACTACAATTCAGAGGTAAATCGTGTACTTTGACTCCACTACAGTGATTACATAGCTTTAGTTACTTTACAGATGTGGATGAATGATGTGAAATATAATCAAGTCTTAAATCAGACTTTAGTTCCACCTGGAGTCAATTCACAAGCTACCCTGCAGTATACAAAGTCATTCAAACTAGCTGCACCTTTACCAGCTTTGAGAACACTTTCATGATCAATCATTATAAAACATATCATATATATTATTTTGATGGGCCAACCAGCAGAATGAGTACTTTTACTTTTGGTACTTTAAGTATATTTCTCCTTTCGATTGATCTCAAACATTACACTGTTATATAAAGTTTGCAGGTTAGGTGGTGTTACCTTGCAGTAGTGACGGGGTGCTGTTCCGACTCTGCAGCCTGGGCCTCTTCAGCTTCTGGGACACAGTCCTCAGGTACTTTTTCAGGAGGGCCCCCCCGCCTGCTCTCTGTGCGGGGTCCGGGGAGGTGACCCCTGAGCTCTCTGCTGCAGCAGATGCTGAAGCTGCATGAGGTTGGGGGCTAGAAGTGGAGGAGGGGGACAGGGCAGCGAACAGGGACCCCGGGGGCTCAGACAGAGCTCTTCTGAAGGGGTTCTTCCTGGGGCCTTTCTCCGGCTTGGCCCCCTCTCCACCTTTCCCCCCGTGCTTGTCTCCGGGGTCTTCGCTCAGGGCCTTGCGCCAGTTTTGCATCTTGCTCCATTTGTTGGTGGAGGCCTTCTGAATCCTGTCTAGTGTGGATGTGGCAGAAGCTGCTGCTCCTTCTCCATCTTCTTTCACTTCATCCAGCGCTCCCTTCGAGCCGGTGTGCCACTTGTACGTGTTCAGGGGGTCGGGGGTCTCAGGGGTCTGTCCCTCCACAGGAGAATCCTTTTCCTTCCCCGGTGACCCCTGTTCCTTCGGTGGTTGTTGAGCTGCAGGCTCTAGATCTTTCTCCTCGGTGCCCATTTCACATTCAATTTCTGTCTTTTCTCTCAAGGATGCATCAATCAAAATTAAAATCCCTTCATAGGAGACCTCGCCTGTTTCCTCTCTGATTGACTGCTATGTTGTGAGAGCTAAGGATGACAAAGTGCCTTCACTGGTTCTGTCTCTCTGCTTCTCTCGTTTCCTGTCTTGCAAAATGCGGAGACAACATGCGCCTCGCTGCTCCGGGTGCTTTGCTACAGCGCCCAGCTCATCTCACACGCCTGCTTCCTCATAACATGCAACCGAGAAGTTCACTTTTTAACAGGAATATCACAATTTATTTATGTGCTTTATGCTTTCACCCAATACTTCCCTACTTCCTCACTTCCTGTTCTGCTTTTATGTCTAAGGTTAGCTTCCTAATTAAACTCTCATGTCTTCTAACAGATGTCAGTATTTTCTTGGTAAAGACTCAAAACTCAGAGATGTTTCTTAAAGTGCGATTTGATGGAGGTAGTTCTTCACCATGAAGGAGCTTGTCTGTCATTTTTCAGTCATTTAGTCGCACTATGAGTATGAGAAATGTGGTTGTACATCCTGAGTTCATATAAATGATGGAGGATGCAATTTCATTTCTAAACCTTACTCCCCTAATTTTCCCAAGATACTTACTGATTAAAAAAGTTAACAAATCAACAAATCAATACTTTCACTACACTTCAAATACATAATTTCTGTGTTCAGAAATATACGTGAAGTAATTTGAATTGCATACATAACCCTGGATAAGATTTCTCATATCTAATCAATTTTTGGCGGGGATTTGTTGTGATAGAAAACAAATATCGTCTGTGACTTGTATTGATTCCCAGATCAATATGGAAGTCCATAGGTAATAGAGTAAAAGTGCACTTGTAATCAGATACCTGTGGGTGTGTGGACTGTTGACTGTTAAGATCAGTTTCCTGTTGAGGCGAGGCTGTGCTTCCTGTTTGCTCCATTTGTCAGACTGTGAAAACCACTTCCTGCTGCTTGCTCTCTGCTCTCTGCTCTCACACACCTGCAGGATGCTTCTGTGTCACCATCAATGCCATGTTGCCTGATGGTGAAATACAAGTGGACAGCAAGATATTGATAGACTGCAGCACTCTTCATATTGTGACAATATTTACATTTTCAAATGTAAAGGTACAAGTGCTTACTGCTTGATTTAAACCGGCCTCTTTATGCCAACATTTGGCTCAATATTTGTGTACAAACTGCTTAATGCAAAAATACATTCATAAATGCAAAAATACTATTTATTTTATTTTATTTGTGAAGAATCCGTTTTTGGAAGTCACTGTGAGTTACATTGTGTCTTGTTTTATGGAGGCCCTCTGGTGGCTATGTTTTGGTATTGATATTATTTATGACATTTTATTTGAAAGTGCATTGACTGTAGTAGAGCAATGATAGAAAATAACAGTAATAATAATAATATTATTAATCCTTCACCCCCCAACTCTCTCTACTCTCCGTTCACCCTTTCACCCTCGCACACCCTCCTGGAGTTCGACCACATGAAGGAGATACAGAGGGTTGGCACCAAGTCCTTCCTGGAGATCAATGACAGCAGGGGTTGGCAGCATGTCCTTTACCCCCGCCCCTCAACGACGCCCACCACAATCACCGAAGCAGAGACGCGCACCATCTCCCCCGTCTTCATCACCGTGCCTACGTCAACCACCTCCCCCCCTTCAAGACAGCATCTGCGGTCACCGAAGCCTGATAAGAATGTGTATGTACGAAACGCAACAAACACTTACTGATATGTGCTGGGTCCAGGCTCAAGGGCATATGGCACTCTCAACTCTTTCCAGGACAAGCCGGGGCCCTGCCTGCCAGTATAGCTTTGCCGATATCTGTGTTGATAGGTAATAACAGAGCCGTCCCTGGCCAACATGAGGCCCCACGCAAAGTTATATGATGAGGCCCTCTGTTTCGCGAGCGTCGCCGTCGTCGTCATCGACGGGGGGGTGCTAGTGGAGCCTCGCAGCGACGAAACCGCGCCGCGCCACACTAATTGCGCCGCATAAGCGCATAGGTGCGCCGCATTTTCGGCTCAGTTGAGGCTCCCTCCGCAAGATGAGGCCCCCTCCGCAAGGTGAGGCCCCAAACAGTCTGCATGATCGGCCTGTAGGGAGGGACAGCCCTGGGTGCGGTGAATCAGCTTAGAAACAGGAAGCGCTCAAACGTTTGTGTGAGTTTATGAAATTTAGCAGTGATTCCATGTCAGCCACAGCTTGTCACAAAATCTGACTGATAGTGTATTTAACAAACTTAAACTAGCTTTATTAAATGTCAGGTCTTTGGCAGGAAAAACGTTTTTAATCAATGATTTTATCACTGAGCACAATCTGGATGTTATGTTTTTAACGGAAACTTGGATTGAACAAAATATCAGTGCAGCATTTCTTATCGAATCAACTCCTCCCAACTTCAGTTTTATGAGTCAGGAAAGAATGCATAAGAAAGGAGGTGGAGTTGCTATTTTGTTCAATGATTCCCTTCAATGCAGGAAGACATCTTATGGGAACTTTGCTTCTTTTGAATATGTGGCCCTTCAGCTGAAATGCTCCTCTTGAGCTCTGTTCCTAAACATCTATAGACCACCCAAATACTGTGCAAGCTTTTTTGATGATTTTACTGAACTGCTGTCTATAGTGTGTATTGACTTTGACCGTCTAGTCATTGTTGGTGATTTTAACATCCATGTTGACAACCCCCAGGACAGAGGGGCTAAAGAACTGTTTTGTGTTCTTGATAACTATGGACTGACTCAGCATGTGACGGAGCCCACGCACAATAAGGGGCACACTCTGGACTTAATTATCTCAAAGGGTCTGAATATCTCAAAGGTTGTGGTGACTGATGTTGCACTCTCTGATCATTCCTGTGTTTTCTTTGAGAGCTCTATTTCTGTTCACAAATTTTTTCAAAAAGAGGTAGCCTACCCAGCTAGCGGGGAACGTTCTCACAACTTTGGCTAATGTTACCTATTGGTTCTAATAAGGTTTTAAAGAAACGTTTTAATCTGATGTTCAAAGAATCTTTTTAGGATGTTTATTATTTCAAATAATGTTCCTATAAGGTTTAAGGTTAACTAAGACATAACGTTTTAACTGCAACATTCAGAGGATGTTTTGAGGATGTTATTGAGGCCTGAGATGACAGAAAGTGTTTTATAAAATGTTCCTTTAATGTGATATGTTAACAAAGGTGGAACGTTTTGCCTGCAACATTCTAAGGATGTGTTTTGGACGTTGTTGGGTAACACATTAAAGATGTTCTTTATAAAACATTCCCTCAATGTTACATGATAACAAATGAAGAACATTCTCAAAGCAACATTCTGAAAATGTTTTCAGGAGGTTATTCTTTTTTTATAAAATGTTCCTGTGATGCGAAATATTAACATGGTCATGGTCAACGTCAGATTTATTTGTAGTGCGCTTTAAAAAACAAACTTGTTGCATTTGTTTGAAAAGGATGTTTAAAAAAAATCTGATGTCACCATATTTTCCTTTTGAAAAACAAAAACAAGCACGTAATTCATGATATTGCATGTTTGCATAGGCATGTCTGAGTTCCCAGCTAGACATTGTTGGTTCTAAAAACATTCTGAGAATGTTACCATTCATTGTTCTAGGAATGGTTTCATCGAGAAGTTTTATTTTGGTTCCTAGAATGTACTTCTGAAAGGTAGGATAACGTTCTCTAAAAACATTCTTAAAATGTTTGGCGATAACATTGTTCGAACATTATACCCCAAGTGTTTTTGTTGTTTATGCACATATCTCTATTGTCATATGGATCGAATAACACTTAGAAAACCAAAGACAGACATATAGAAGAACGGACCGACTATCACTGCCCGTCCCTGAAACCCCTGTTAGTGTTTGTATGTGTTTGTTTCTACTGTGTGTCTCTCCCCCCCCCCCCCCACCTGCCTGCTGGTCTGCTCTACACGGCTGGGAGCAATCTCCAATCAACCACACCTGCAGCCTGCTCATCGGCCACACTATGAAAACCTGCAGCCTGCACTCATTCCCTGCCGGATTGTTGCCGTGAACGGTTTGTTGCGTGCCGCTCTAGCTTTTTACCAGCATATTCGTTGACAACTTTGCCTGCTTTTGCCTCACACTCATTTTTATGTCTCTCCCAGGAGGAATCCAAGGCCTTCCACACTCCCAAGACCAGCCAGGCCTCTCTACCCACCCTGGAACAACTGTTTCCCACTGCTGCCATAACCAACCTCCACTCCCAGCTCCCCTTTTCTAATAAACAAATGTTACTTTCACCAGCTGATTCCGATTCATCCTTTTACGTGTTAATAGTCAAATTCCAATAGTTAAGTAAACTATCAAAATCATCCTAATGACCACAGTGGTCAGTCCACTTACCCATGAATTTTAAGTTGAACAATTACAGGAATATTATGTCTTTATGTTCTAATAATGTAAAAATATTATGGAAAATTGTTACCACAGAACATTTGCATAATGTTTTAAACATAAAGCATGTTATCCTTCTCTAAAATAATAACATTCTGGCAACATAAAAAAATCTAACTTGCAGCTGAAAACGTTTTAAGAACAGTAGGGCATAATGTTCTAACGTTATCAAAAACATTTTAAGAATGTTTTTAGAGAACGTTATCCTACCTTTCAGAAGAACATTCTGGGAACCAAACTAAAACTTCCCGCTGAAAACGTTTTAAGAATAGTAGGGCATAATGTTCTAACAATGTTATCAACCACATCTTAAGAAGGTTATCAAAAACATCTTAAGAAGGTTATCAAAAACATTTCAAGAAGGTTATTACCAAGCATTTCAAGAATGTTTTTAAAGAACGTTATCCTACCTTTCAGAAGAACATTCCGGGAACCAAAATAAAACGTCCCGCTGAAAACATTCCTAGAACAATGAATGGTAACAAACATATCTAGCTGGGAACTCACATATGCCACTGCAAACATGCAATATCTGCTGTTGGAATTACGTGCTTGTTTGTTTTTTTCAAAAGGAAAATATGGTGACATTAGATTTTTTTTAAAACATCCTTTTCAAACAAATGCAACAAGTTTGTTTTTTAAAGCGCTCTAGAAATAAATCTGACGTTGACCATGACCGTGCTAATATTTGCCATCACAGGAACGTGTTATAAAAAAAGAATAACATCCTGAAAACATTTTCAGAATGTTTCTTGGAGAATGTTCTTCATTTGTT